CCCGAACTTCAGAGGAGTCCGAGCAAGGACACACCCATGTGGCTCTTCCACTTGACAATGAGGATGGCTTCCTCGATCAGCCAGAGTATGGAAGGAAGTACGACTATACTCACGACAAGAAAGACATGTCTCGACTTGGAAGACGGCAGCAGCTCAAGCGCAGATTTAAGGATCGTGTGTCGATGCTGGACTACGTCTACTTCTACCGGATCGGCACTGATCCTGCTCCAGTCTCCATCGCTGAGTACGTGGTGGTTCTTGGTAACACGTGGGAGTTTGTGGTGGTCACGGCTGCCTTCTCGCTTGCGAACGGCGGCACAGCTGGCGCTATATGGACCACTTTGATCGTATGCGCGGACATGTTCCTGTGCGTCCTCTCGAAGGCGGAAGTGGCCAGCATGGCACCGACTTCGGGAGGTGAGAAGGTCCTGAGGTGCTCTAGACAACAGCTTCTGACATGACCAGGTCAATATCACGTAAGTGCCTCCAACACCGCGGCGGCCTTGCTGCCGTCCTCACCGTTGTAGCGAGCGATGACTAGGCTCAACAGAGTAAGCGCTGACCGAGCGGAAAGTGGGTGTCAGAGATCGCACCAACAAGCGTGCAGAAGCAGCTCAGCTATATCGTAGGCTGGCTAGCTATGCTCGGTGAGCTCCCTCTTGCGCTGATCTCGACGACGTCTGTCCTCATGCGACAACAGGCTGGCAAGCCGGCATGCCTGCTGTGGCTTATATCTTCGCCCAACAAATCCTCGCCTTGATCTCGGTCTGCAACCCGGACTACGTACTACAAGGCTGGCATGGTGCCTTGATGACGATCGCCTCCGCCACCAGTGCCATTGTGCTGAGCGTGTACGTCATGCAGCGGTTGACATTGACGCAAGGTCTAGCAGTAGCCGCTCATGTCATCGGCTTTGTCGCGTTTCTGACTGTGCTATGGGTCAAGGTTGGTCCGCATGCGAGTTCTGATGTCGCCGAATGGCGTTGACACTCCCTGTACCTTAGGGTCCCGGCTCACACACTTCTGCCAGCGAAGTTTTGATCAACTTCGAGGATCTCAACGGCTGGGGCAGCTACGGTCTGGCTACTCTCGTGGCGATCATCGGGCCAATCTCGACGTACATCGGAGGCGACTCGGCCGTGCAACTTGCGGAGGAGCTACAGGACGCGAATTATGTTCTGCCACGCGCTATGGTGAGCGCCTCTGCCATCAACTACGTTATGGGCACTGTAGCGCTCATCACGTTCATGTTCAACGTCGGGCCAATCGACGACGGTCTGTATATCTATGGTGGCCAGCCTTGGGTTACTGTGATCTACAGAATTACGGGCTCGAAGGCGGCGACGATTATGATGATCGTCATCGTTGCGATCAATTTCTACTGTTTGCAGATCAATATGGTGATGACATCTTCTCGTCAGGTGTGGGCGTTCGCGCGAGACAAAGGTTCGGCTCTGCCCACAGGTCACTCGAGACTTCACCAGCTAACGAGTTCTGTCCACAGGCCTCCCCTTCTCGCCCTTTCTAGCCAAAGTAACGCCTAACGGCACCCCGAGAAAGTCTGTCGCAATCACCCTCGCCTTCACGATCCTCCTCTCACTGATCATCATCGGCTCGTTCACAGCATTCAGCGTCATCTTGTCCTTCGGGAACGCCGGCATATACACCTCCTACGTGGTCATACTCCTCGCTATCATCTATCGACGTTTCGATGGGAACAAATTCCCGCCTACGAAGTTCTCTCTCGGCCGCTGGGGACTTGCTGTCAACCTGGCTGCCTTGATCTACATCAGCGTGGCGCTGGTCTTCACGTTCTTCCCGCCCATGCCGAATCCGACACCTGCTTCGATGTGGGTATCTCGCGAGTGATCGCGGAAAGTGGTAGCTGACAGTGTTTCAAGGAACTGGGCAAGCCTCATGTTTGGAGGAGTTTGCGTGATCGCTGGCTTGTGGTATGTGGTTGAGGATAGACGTGTCTATGATGGCCCGGTTGAGTACGTGCGAAAGAACATCTCGTGAGCTTAGCATAAGGGCAAATGGAGATTGCAACCGGGCGTATGGAGCATGAAGGCTCTGCTGGATGGGGCTTTGAGCTGTGTTGGGACGTACGCATACCGGGATTGGCTACGTGATCTCAGCCGGTACCTCATCACTAGCCAGTTTCACTCTCCGCATCAAAGAGCGCTGGTATCAAACTCCGTGGTGTGGAGATTGAGTGCTGTGAAGTCTAAGGATTGAATGCGAGGTCTGAAAGCGAGAGCGATGACATCCCGAAGCAGACGTCATGACGGGATTGTATGTAAAGATGTCGCATGCGCTCCTCTGACCATTCACACTCTTTCACCTAGTAAGCTTAACCCTACACTGGAGTCGCGGAGTCCTTGCGACGGCGTAGTAGGCGGATTTGATGTTTCGCCTCCTGCCTGCGCCGTCATGTCGACGATTCGCAAGCAAGATCCTCGCCAATCGATCTGCTTCCGCTCGAGACCTCACGCGACATGTTACCCCAAGGGCAAGCTTGTGCACACGATCAAGTCAAGTCGCCCGACCATCGCTTCCCATAAGATCTAGCTTGATCATCTCCTCATTCCGACGCCTGCAATCCCAATTCCAACCTCTTCGCCCTCCAACTATCCCGAAACGAGGCAGCCCCGCCACACCCAAAACCTACCGCCGCTCGCGCAAATGGCTCCGCAGACTAATCCGCACAGCCCTGATAGTTGGCGCAGTTTTGACAGCGGACCAATACTTCTACGACGCCTGCCTCTCGCGCACCTTCCGCACCTTCGCCAACGGTCTCTTCGTAGCGGTAGATTATAAGATAAACTTCCGCCCCGATCCCTGGATAGGCGACAGCGTTGAAGACCTGCATCGTCGAAGCGCGACTCGATTGTTTGAGCTGCTGCGGAACAATGGCGGATTGTACCTCAAGATCGGGCAAGCGATCGCGATGCAGTCCGCCATCTTGCCGCCGGAATTTCAGAAGATGTTCGCTAGGATGTTTGACGATGCGACGCAGAATAGCTGGAAGGAGGTAGAACAGGTGATCAAGGAGGATTTTGGCAAGACGCCCGAGGAGGTGTTTGGGGTCAGCTTTGATGGGGATCCAAGCAAGGGTGTCATGGAGCGGACGGCACGAGCGAGCGCGAGTGTTGCGCAGGTCCATTGGGCACGGCTCGCGGATGGGAGGGAAGTGGCGATCAAGATACAGAAGCGGGAGATTGCACGGCAGGTGGAGTGGGATCTGTGGGCGTTCAAGGTCGTGACGAAGATCTATACCTGGTACTTCGACCTACCGCTGTACAGTCTTGTGCCGTACATCTCGGATCGACTTATGCTGGAGACGGACTTTCAGAACGAGGCACGGAACGGAGAGAAGATGCGGAATCTCATACAGAACGAGCCCAGGCTGAAGAACCGGGTGTACATTCCGGAGACCTATCCCAGCATGAGCAGCAAGCGTGTAATGACTGCTGAGTGGATCGAGGGCATCCGACTCTGGGACAAAGAGGGCATCAACAACACCTGGCGGGGCGGCTACGGCAAAGGCTCGCCAGGCGCAGGAGGAGTACAGCTGGACGCCCCTCCTGCACACGTCGTTGCAAACATCTCGAAAAAGCAGCCGGACCACGAGAAGCTCAAACCCGAGCGTGATGCCTGGCGCGGCCCAACCAAGAAAGGCGGGCTCGGTCTTCCTCTCAAACCCGTAATGCAAACAATGGTCGACCTCTTCTCCGCGCAGATGTTCCTCTGGGGACTTGTGCACTGCGATCCACACCCAGGAAACATCTTCATCCGGCGCTTACCTTCCGGGAAACCGGAGCTAGTCCTCATAGACCACGGCCTGTACATTAGCATGGACCCCAAGTTCCGTCTAGAGTACGCGCTCTTCTGGCGGAGTTTAATGACATTCGATAACAAGACCATCGCCAAAGTGACGCAGGAATGGGGCATCAATGCGCCGGATATTTTTGCTAGCGCGACCTTGATGCGACCGTACGAAGGCGGGGACGGGAAGACCTTGGCTGAGATAAGGGCGATGAGCAAGAAGGAGCAGAAGGTGCGGCAGTTTGAGATGCAGCAGAAGATGCGGGCCGGCGTACGAGACATTCTGTCAAATCAGGACAAGTTTCCGCAGGAGCTCATCTTCATTGGGCGAAACTTGAGGATCGTGCAGGGCAATAATCAGTTCTTAGGCAGTCCTGTGAATCGCGTCAAAATCACGGGGACGTGGGCTAGTCGTGCTTTGGCGGAGAATCGGGAGGCTAGTCTGAGTCAGAGATGGAAGGAGTACGGCAAGCATCTGCTGTTCAGAACTGTGCTGATCAGTACCGACTTCGTCTTCTACTGGGCGAAGGTGAGGCAGTGGCTGGGAGTTGGAAAGGGGATGGATGACGATATTGAGGAGAGCATGCGGAAAATGGCTGAGGGGTGAGTCTGCATTGCCACACTGTGTATGCATTTGTGTACTGACTTCTTCGCAGGATGGGCGTCGAACTACAGCATGGCGTTTTCGAAGGGTGAGTTGTACACCATTTGTATAGAGGTAGAGAAAGACTTGTACATATAGACCTCAAGATACCCTGTCTATAGACTCCCCCACGCTGTGGGAACGTCGGTCAATTACAACTGAGGAAAGAGAGACCATATCAATCTTACCTCAACATCACTCTCTCGTTGAGATTTCGGGTCGGCTCTGATACAGACTGTACACGACTAAGGCCGGCACAATGGCTCAGAGACTCCCAATCGTCCGCAGGCCTTTCGCGTCGACTCCTTTTGTGCAAAAGCAGTCACCTCTCGCGCTACTCGGCAGCTGACATAGGAATAGTTAAATTCAGATCATTATGAGTCTGAGAACCTGCATGGACCATCCCTTTTACGTGGCTCTATTACTTCCTGACGACACTGCAATGATCATCCCTCATCGCGTTTTACGCCTTTGATAACCTGAATATATACGATAATCCTAGTTCCTTCTCCATCCAGTAATGATAGGCGGTTCTTTGGTCTAGTGGTATGATACTCGCTTAGGGTTCAACCTTAAGCCAAATTGCGAGTGGCCCCGGGTTCGACTCCCGGAAGAACCCGTCAATTAACACATCTTTTGCGCTTTGTTACCCTTTTGAAAATGGAAAGATGATTTAGATGTTTGAGTGCACGCCCGGGGCGTAGGGGGCATGAATTTTGCTAGCATGCTTCAAAAATGTCACTGCGCTTCCAACTTCGGAGAACGATGAGACAAACAGAGCTTAGTTTGCTCGATTGCAAGAAGTGTATACAAATCATGTGCTCGAAGTACAGCAAATCAAAACCTTGAAGACATCGCGCTCATATGAGTTGCAAGGTCTGCCGGTCGTGTCTGTAAAGCTGCTCGCAAGTTGGCGACCACGTATGTACGCCTTTCCGTGCCCCAACGCCACGCAACCAGTATTGAAGGTAAGTCAAAGTCAATCATGTCTGGAGGTCTACCACTAGACACTCATGCTCAAAGCAGGGCGGTCTGCGAAGGGCAAAAAGTCGTCCATCAAGTTCACAGATGCTGCTCTACATCACCGAGCAGCATCCAGCGTCTTTGTCGCCCTTGACGTTCTTCACCGTCAGTGCCACTCGTGCGGCTTCCGTGAACGCCTCGTTCACGCCTCGGTTCTTCATCGCTGAGCATTCTGCAGCAATTCGTTAGCACACCTTTCTCTCACCACGCCACACTAGCACAGCAAGCATGACATACCCAAATACCTCAAAGCCTTCACCCTCTCCGCCACCGCCAACCCCGCCTTATAATCAATACACGGCTTCTTCACCTCGGCACCGTCCTCCCGATCATCTTTTTCCTGTTCCCGCAGATCGCACTTCAACGCCACAAGCACCAATTTAACACCAGGGCAATTCTCTGCGATCTCGCCGACCCATTTCGATTCGACGTTCTCCAGCGAGTCGGGCGAGTCCACGCTGAAGCACAGCATTATGGCGTGGGTGTCGTCATAGGAAAGGGAGCGCAGGCGGTCGAATTCTTCTTGACCTGCTGTGTCCCAGAGGGAGAGTTCCACGTGGGTGCTGTCGATGAAGATGTCGTGGACGTAGTTTTCGAAGACTGTGGGTTCGCTGCACTGATGTCAGTATGGGCATTGATTACGCCTGGATTCGTGGGTGCGAGCATACTAGACTGTCGGGAAATAGCCCCGTGTGAAGACATTGAGTAATGATGTTTTACCGCATGCGCCGTCGCCTCTGTGTACTCACTGTTAGCTTTTCGCTCGTTGCTGCATGTCATGTCTGCCCTTACAATAGCACCAACTTCCTCTGCACCGTCTTACTGTCTCCGCACAACGGCATCTTGGCTGTAATGTGTGCTCCTCCCGAATGCGCCGGTCCTGTTCTACGCTCTTCCAGCGATCGCTCGATGCGCCAGCCTCGTCTTCTCGTAGATAGTCGTATGGATGTTTGCAAGTAGTCTGGTGATCCAATTCGTCTATGCAATGAAGTTGGCAGGTGATTTAGTCGAGATGGTAGTCGGTTGCAGGTGGACAATGGTGATCGCAAACCGACAGGTGACGAAGGTTCTCCGCCTACTTGATCCAAAGTGGACCACTGCGGATCATGCACGGCGCACGCTGCACAGAGTTCGTGGGGATGGCGGCTGGACTTCTTTGCGGAGCCTGGCCGGGCCGCGTTGCTTCGATCTGAACGTTCACTTCAGCCGGTTTTGGGGGCGGGTGGAAGTCTTCCTCGCTCCTTCCTGATTTGGCGCTGGACTTCGTTGTTCACGTTGTTCACGAAAATGACTTGCTATGGTGACTAGAGAAGCGATGAGGCGGAGGAGATGGTGAAGTGGAGGAATTCGGGTTCAGTATGCATTGGAGAGGAGATGGAGAACTTGACAAAGATCATTGGGCGCTCAGATCGCTCGGTGGGCTAAAGTTAGTACCGAGGAAGGAACGTGCACGGCCCGACGAACTGGTGTTCGCCTCGTGCAGGACGGTGCTGCACGCCAATGATGCAAGATATATGATGGCTACATCACAAGGGGTGACCATTATACACTGTCGTTGTTACGCACGCGATGGCAGTGCGGCCTCCGTGCAGTGCGTGGAGCGCGTGATACATGGGTTCATGTATCCTATGCGTTGCTCGACCTCAATCGGTATGAGGACATCATGTCCTAGTCTTCCGAACCTGCTCCCTTCCCCTTGAACCTCCTCCCAGCATCAACACCCTCTGCCTCTCTCCGCACACCATCGATGAAGCGAGCCTTCTCAGACCGCTTGCGATCGTCTTCGTTCCGCTGCTTTGCTTCTCTCGCCTCCAGATCTGCAAGACGATCCTTGCGTTCAGTTTCCAGGTCCGCTGCGTTGGATGACATGGCAGCCAGTCGTTTGTCACGCTCCGCGGCCTCAGCGGTGTCGTCTTTCTTGGCCTCGTCAGGCGGCGAGTGGTAGCTTTCTCGCTTCGAGCGACTTCGATCGTATGAAGGCGATCGTCGCGGTCTACGTGTGCTGTGCGAGGTGCGCGATTCGCGATATGGTGAATTTGATCTCGAGTTTGAGGATCCCGATCGCTTCGGACTTGGGTACGACCTTCGTCGGTCTCGTCGGTTGTCCTCGTCGCGGCGCCTCCGTGGTGATCGTGATCGCGACGGAGTGTAATCTCGTTGCTTGCGCGAGGTTCGGCGTCTGTCATCGCGATCCTCCCCATCCCGGCGTCTGTATGGCGAGCGAGACCTCGATCGCGATCTGGATGCCGAACGATGGCGATGCCGATGTGAGCGATGTCTATCACTTCTGTGCTCGTCCTTCTCATCACTATGCCTCCTGCGCTTCCGTCTGTGCCCATCATCATCTTCCCGATCTCGCCGCGACCTATGCTTTTGCGCCCGCTCCTTCTTCTCCGCAGTAGGCGCCTCTTCCTTCCCAGCAGCCTGCATCAATAACCGTCTCCTCGCCGGATCATTCATCATGGCCTCGTAAGCAGCCTGCTCCTGCTTCTTAATAGCCAGCATGGGGTCACCAGCCACCTTACTCGCGATATCCCTCGCCGAGTTAGCATTGGCATTCAACGCCATGAACCCGTCCTGTCCCGCCTCCTTTTTGACCGCCGCTGTCTCCGCCGTCTTGACAAGCCCATCTAACCTCCGCTTCCCCAGTAAGTACCCCTCCATCTCCTCCGTCACACCTCCAGCCCCGGGTCCTCCAGCGCCAGGACCGTTGTACATCCAGTCCACGCGATCAACACGCTTCTTGCCGCCTGCGTTTTCTTGCAAACGTTCGAGCTCGAGGACTGCGCGCTCTTCTGCGCGCTCCTTGAGAACTTGCTCGGTTTTCTTGCGCTCATCCAGTGCTTTCGTTTCTTCTGCCCAGACGCGCTTCTGATTGGACATGAGCAACGGGTGCCATGACTTCTTGAGGTTGAGGTCGCCACCCATGATTGCGGTGTTGACGGGTGGATGCTGCTTGTAGTTGCGGTGGAAGAAGAGCAGCAACAGAAGTCGCCGTCACTGGGAGGACTTGCGGCAGCGTTTTGCGGCAACGTTCCGCCTCCACAGTACCAAAAGCTTAACTCCGATTAACCCCACGTCGAGCTAGAAGGTGCTGAAGTCAAACATCGAAGCGACAGCTACACATTGATCGCGTACTGTTGTCGAGCTGACCAGTCTCAACCGCAAGTGTGGGCCTGGGGCGTGCGAGTGTTCTATACGGCAGCGCACATAATCTTGACCACTCAATACCACCATCATGTCAGACGACGATGACTTCATGCAAGCGTCGGACGAGGAGAAGTGAGTCTACATAATGACGGGCCAGGCCCCGATGTCACTAACAGCGGTACCAGCTACGACTTCGAGTATGAGGACGAAGACGAGGCCGAGGCGGGCGGTGATGTAGACGTCGAGAACAAGTACTACAATGCCAAACAGATGAAAGCAGAGTCGCCCGAGGATGCGATCGATGAGTTCCTCGGCGTGCCAGCACTAGAAGAGGAGAAAGGGGATTGGGGTTTCAAGGGATTGAAGCAAGCTATCAAGCTCGAGTTCAAGCTGGGACGATATGAGAAGGTCGAGCTGGCCATGTGTGGGAGCATGTGGCACTCTGCTGACTCTTAAGCAGGCTGTCGAGCACTACACGGAACTCCTGACATACGTCAAGTCCGCTGTGACGCGCAACTACTCCGAGAAGTCGATCAACAACATGCTGGACTTTATCGAGAAGAACGCAGACGACCAGGCAGCAAACCAGTGCATGGAGCAATTCTACTCCAAGACACTCGACTCCTTCCAGGCCACCAACAACGAGCGATTGTGGCTATCGACTAATACAAAGCTCGCCCGGCTTTGGCTTGCGCAGAAAGACTACGGTCGACTCACGGATAAGGTCCGTGAACTGCACAAGGCATGTCAGCTGGAGGACGGCACAGACGACCCAAGCAAGGGGACGTACTCGATGGAGGCGTATGCGCTCGAGATCCAGATGTATGCCGAGACACGTAACAACAAGCGGCTGAAGGTTTGACAGATCTATTCTAGGGTGCCTTTGCCACTCACTAAATATCGCACAGGGCTTGTACCAGCGTGCACTGAAGGTACGATCAGCTGTACCGCATCCTAAGATCATGGGTATCATTAGAGAGTGTGGCGGTAAGATGCATCTCAGCGAAGGTACGTGCAATATCTGCGAGACTACGCGAGACAGGCGACTAACGCGTGTGTCAGAGAATTGGACTGAGGCGCAGAGCGACTTCTTCGAGTCATTCCGCAACTACGACGAAGCTGGCTCACTGCAGCGCATCCAAGTGCTGAAGTATCTCGTGTTGACGACCATGCTGATGGGCTCCGACATCAACCCCTTTGACTCCCAAGAAACGAAGCCCTACAAGAACGACCCGCGCATAGCAGCAATGACCGAATTAGTCCAAGCCTACCAAACAGACCAAATCAATCAATACGAAACGATCCTGCAGAAGAATCGGGACCTCCT